ACTCAGCAATGAGCAAAGCTACTTAGCTATGGAGTGCGGACAAAAAAGAGTGATTAGCATGCTAAGTGGTTGAGAAAGAGTTAGGTTACTTCCATAACAACCATCTTCTGGCTATGGTAACCTTCCGCATAACATTACTTCTAGGAATCTCTTCGATTTTAGATAGGTGATCGTAGGCTCCAGTCGTCTTATTCTTTTCTAAAAAAATCAAAGATAGGCTTGCCTTAAAAAAAAAAGTTAATGAAAAGATTGTACGCTTTCTTTTAATTAATGATAATCCAAATTGTTTTGACTTTACCACTTTTTTTCCCTCGCAATATATATGGATTTTTTATTCCAGTCCAGTCGGTTCGACCGAGGAAATATAGCATGCTGACGCGTTAAGTTACTTTTAAGCATGCATATTAAGCTAGCATGGCATGTAATAAGCAGGTGCTAGCGTATTGAGTTATGTTGAGCTAAGTTGGTATGTACGCTGGTGCTAACCTAACACGTAAGGTTATGCATTAGATTAATATTCTAAGCAAATATATCCAGCTGAATTAGCATGTAAGCTGGTGCTACCTTTCTCAGCCTTTTGGCTAAAAGTATATCAATTGTGGCATCTATTGATTCTGTTATAATTAGTTTAACATCTGATCCATGGTCCACCGGGGGAAAAAAAAAATGGTGTTAACCTAATGCGTTAGCTTAAGCTAACTTAGCATGTAATTTACTGCTCACCTAATGCGTAAGGTTACTTCCAAGCAAGTAATATTAAGCAAAATTCTAAGTAAATATATAAAGCTGRAAAAAAAAGTGCTGACGCCGTTGAGATATGGATGCTAGACAATCGTTGGCATTCTGCAAGGTGGTGAAGACCATAAGCGTACTCCTAAGCAAATACGAAGTTGGGTTATGCTTATTAGTTATAACTTATAAACAATAAACAAGCTAACGATGCTTATTTTGCTAACTAACTTGCTTTGAAAACATCAAAATGAGCAAAGTTGTTGAGCAAAGGATGTTGGACAAGGATTTTCCAAAGTGCAATAGTGACTATCCATAAGTAAGCAGCATCTTGCACCCATATGGTYGATGCCAGAAAATGAACTTGCMSTGTCTTGCATGTGTATCCTTGTATGTTTTGACTATTGCGTGTTGAAAACATGTTATTGTCCTCCCTATGGGATTGCCCTTGTAAACTGTATTGAAGAGAGGGGGAGGGAGGGGGAGGGAGGGGGAGGGGGGGGATCCATGTTAGCACAAACTCGAAACACTTCGAGAGTGTGAACTCTAAAGCAACTTAAAATCTCTCTAGTGGAAATTGCAGAACATCACACACAAAAAAAACCGGAACTCTGGGAGTTTGAAGCTACATAAAATCTCTCTCTTGGAAATTGCAGAACATCACACACACACACAAAGAAAAACTTCACAAAGGAAGTCATTCAAAATTTCAAAATGGCACAAGCCCCCCCCCAAAAAAAAAGGCACAAACCACAAATTTTTGAACAAGCTTAGGCCTTTTCGGCTCTCTCTGGAGACTGGAGCCATGAAGGTCTATCTAGGACCTAAGCAACTTCAGTCAAGGTCAACTTATACTAGTTTGCGATTAAGTTGCGGCTAATAATGAACGGATGTTCCTAGCTTGCAAAGTGACAATCACTTTTTTGGGTTTTTCTTTTCTTTTCTTTTTTTTAAAGATAGCAAGAGCCTTTTTATTATTTTTTAATCTTTTTTTTTTTAACTAAGTTTTATTCTTCTCTCAATTATACCTCAGACTACCTACCTACCTATATGTCTTAGCACCTCCCTCCACCCGTGTCAAAGTACCGCAGGGTAATCCGAGGAATATATTTCTACTCCACTTTGCGCTGGTCCTAACCCCTGGCGATGGATGGAAGGGGGGAAGGAATGCCCATGCCAAGACCAACCAGGGGGGCCCAGGTYGACTATCTCAGCTGGTGAACCTGCAGTGCACCACAGGAGGCTGTAGGGATTCTAATRTAAGACATGGGTAATTGAACCCACAACCTTCTGAATTCCGCTTTCGTGTTGTGCCAATTGACCTAGGCCGCTGGCCTCRCTGCCCCCGTTACARCCCTTTRTTCATTGCCATGGCCGCAAAWWWWTTTTGAGCACCCGACGASTGCAGTAACCCGTGTTCTGCAGCAGTCTAGGCCTTCAAAACGGAGTCCAGACAACGCAGGCCAAACTCGGCCTGCACCAGGCAGTGTGACCACGCACTGCCCTTGGAAAGTCAAAAGTCCAAGTCAACTGTGAAGTCAAAGGTACCACGCCCAGGCCCTTAGTCGGATACACTCACTTGTTGTGCGCAGGTACCCAGACAGCATCAAGGCCACAGGGAGTTCGGTTTCAGGCCTATCTGGGCTGTCCTTTGTCTGGAGATCTCGACGGTCGAGGGAAGCAGCACCCAGGGTCCAAACCCTGCGTCAACGCTACATAAGCGTTGACCTCCTAGCTTGGAGGACATTCTGTCTTGCGTCAATGTTGACTTCACGCGTTGACGACGATGCTGGCTGGACGCTGCGACGCTGGCTGGACGCTGGCTTTGCGCTGGCACTTGGGCGACTACGACGACGCGCTGCTGGCTCAGCATGGTGGCTGGCTTGCAATTGTCTTCTGGGCATGCTAACGTGGCAGCTGCCACGCACC